TTAAATGTAACATGTAGAGGGGGCCATATAAACCTTGTATTTCAAAGGGTTGTATTTAAACAAAGAGCAGCAACAAGGTGCAAAAATTAAACCGTAGCAGTTATCTAGGAGATGTTCAAAACCAGAACATTTATTTTGGACTTTGGGTTAGCATAACTATTTGGTATATCTGTCCATCTACAATGTACACATTCTGGTAAATTGTTTGAAATCACTATATCTCTGAAGGGGTCAGCAGATGGCTGACTCCTCATCTGCTCTCAGGGCTAGTGCAACATCCTTTCCGTACTGGGGACACCATGATTAGCTTCTATTCAAATTAGAGTACTTACGGCCAGTAGAGTAGCTGAAGCTTAAGGGAACCTGTTCTGACAAGTTTATCTGTAGGAAGGGGAGTTAGACCAGCGGAGTTAGACCAGCGGAGTTTGCCCAGGAGTTTGCAAAAGGAAAAACAGCCAAAACAAAACAATGTTTTTTAGCATTAGCATTCAGAGCTCCTCTGCGGTGCTTACCTTTTTCCTCACTCTCACACCAGAAAACCTGTGTTATTCATGTTCACCTTCCAAGCCCCTCCATGCTGTGGAGCTGTACACAGCTCCATTTCTATACCCATAACCATACTAGCGCTTTGGTTACATGTCACGAGGGTTGCTGGGGGGATTGTATGATATTTTAGGTGACCCAGCTTACCCACTACTGTTGTGGCTCTGGAAATTGTACCCTGATTGATACAGGCTTATTTATGCATTTAGCAGTTGGAGGATGGTGATGGAATCCATATTTGAGAGCAAGGCAGTTTTGCCAGCAAAAACCATTTGGATGCCTCTGAACAACATATGAAAGGAGATGGATGAAAATTTTCACTAATAATTATGGGGTGGCATTGAGGACTAGCTAAGCTCGAGTTTAGTTACATGAGTTTTAATTATATCCTCATTGCTATATCCTCATTGCAGAGTTCTTGAGTCTGAGTCTGCCTTAATGAGAAATGTGGACTGTAATCCATAGCCTCAGCTGTGCAAGTGAGCATGGATTCACAGTGAAAACAAGCATAGGCCTAAGGGTTTGCTCTGTGAATGCTAAGACATATGGGATTAAAACACGCATTAGCACTTGGGATAAACCAGTTGTGTAAATAGAGAGAAAAAAGGGGTATGTTTTTCATAGATTTCATAGACGTTAGGGCTGGAAGGGACCTTGAAGATCATCAAGTCCAGCCCCCTGCCCCAGGGGCAGGAAGGCAGTGAGGGTAAAAGGATCCCAGCCAGATAAACATCCAAACGTTTCTTGAAAGAGTTCAGAGTAGGTGCCTGCACCACTTCAGGAGGGAGCCTGTTCCAGGTCTTAGGGACTCGGACAGTAAAGAAATTTTTCTTATGTCCAGCCTGAAACGGTCTTGGAGGAGTTTATGACCATTGGTCCTTGTTTTACCTTGGGGCACTCTGGTGAACAGATGTTCTCCCAGATCCTGATGTACACCCCTTATGTACTTATAGGCAACCACCAGGTCCCCCCTGAGCCTGTGAAGACCCCACCCCACACAGTCTCCCCCATGATGCACAGCCCCTGCTGCCAGTGGCAGCTGCCCTCGGGGCCTGCACAGACACCAGTGCTCTGTGATGCATGGCACTGGCTAGCACTGCACAGCAGTGGCGAAGAGCACAGCTCCACTCATTGCCTCTCTCACACCATGCTCCATGAGCCCACGCAGCTCCACACTACCAGGGGGAAGCAGTGTGGGCTGGAGGCGGCTTCCTTCCTTGCCCCCTGCTTCCCGTGACCTGCACAGCAAGGGGCAGGGAAGGCAGCCGGCTCCAGGCTTACCCTGGTAGCGTGGAGCTGCACATGTGCCGCATGGAGCTTGGCGCAAGAGAGGTGGCTGGTGGGGCTGTGTTCAACCATGCGGCACTGGCCGGTGCTGCGCGTGGGCTATGAGTGCCCCGTGGGCTGCCACTGCTAATAGCGGGGGCTGTGCACCATGGGGGGGAAAATGTTGGCAGTCCCCACATTCCCCACCCTCCTACACCCACACTCACCCCACCTGAGCTCCGCACTCCTGCCACCCCCCTGCGCGTGGGTTTCATGGTCCTGCCCATTCGCAGATCCCCCATCCCAGCACCCACCCTCTCCCTACCTGTTGCCTGGAGCAAGCTGGAGGTTGAGTAGGCTCGCAGGCCCTTGGGGTGGCAGCAGCAGCAGCCCTGCCCGGAAGCTGTGTGCTGGCAGGGCCGGGCCCTTCCTTGACCCCATCTTGTTTCTACAGTCGAGACCCACAGTTTGGGAACCACTGTGTTACAGAAAAGCCAAAAAGTAAGCAACCTTTAAATAAAAAAGCCCCAAAACCTGAAACCTGCAACTCTAAAAATCAAAGCAACTTTTTAAAAGAACAAGCCCAATTTCGCTTATTGTAAGTGGACTTGGCAACACTGGCTTGGAGCTACCGCTAGGAAGCGGCCACAGCGAGACCAGCAGAGGGGAGCAGAGGCGAAGGGAAGGGAAGGGAAAGGAAGGGAGGCGGATGGGGCTGTTCGTGCCGCTGCCATGGAAGGGAGCACCGAGTCCCCCTGCAGCTCAGGGCCCTAGGCGTGTGCCTAATGTACCTAGGTGTTAATCTGGCCCTGACAGACAGAGACAGAGAGATGAGCTGCAAAACTGCTGAAGTGCAGAGTCAAGAAGAGGCTGTGTATACTGTGGCAGGGAGGAGACGGGCTGAAAGCCTAGTGCATTGGTTCCCAATGTTTTTAGACCGTGGACCGGCAAACTGCGGACCAGCATACTGCAGTTTGGAAGTGACCAGCATACCGTGGACCAGCAGCCAACCGTTTCTTATACTCAGTACCGTACTGGGCCGTGGCTCAGAGGTTGGGAAACTCTGGCCCAGTGCAGCTGTGGAGACCTTAACACAGATGGCTCCACTAGAGAAGTGTGACTGTGGGAATGCAGGTGGCTCACCTTGTTTGAGCAGTTCTGCATGGTTTCAGGCTTAGCAAAAAGAACACAGGAATACCAGGTAAATGCCCTCCTCTTTGCCATGGGAGAGGCTGTGGATGATGTTGTAAGGGAGTGCAGATCATTCAGACTGGTAGAAATAATTAAGGAGGAGGAAATGTCATCAGATGACAATGAGCCTGTGCTACAAGGAACTATATCTTCAATAGAAGAATCAATAACTTTGTACATTAATATAGACCTCAGAGGTCGAATCATTAAATTCAAAATAGACACTGGCATTGCAGTTACTGCCATCCGTGCTAAAGATTATGATCCATCCTGGGATGGAGATCTGCAAAGGTCAGATGAAATTGTCAGAAGGACAAGTAATACTGCATTAGAAGTGTGTGGCCAATTTAAGGGGATATTGGATATCTTTGTCCAGAGAGAAACATACAGCTGTTCAGGTTGGATTGAAAGGAGGTATTGGATACCTTCCTCATGGGTATCTAATGTAGCTTCTTAGGGAAGAGCCAGTTCTCCTCCACAAGAAATCTCTTGAACAGCCATACACTTGATATTTGTGCCAGGAAAAAAAGGCTTTTCTCCCAGCACAAATGTAATGCTTGTTTGTGGCTCTTGTGTCCATTTCCCTCCATTGGCTGTTATTTCTCCTTAAAAAGTTAATTTGTTAGTTCAGAATACACACTTGGTTGAGGTCTGGGAAAGGGTGTGGTAAACTACTAAGGAGTCTGGCAGAGATGGCATAAGGCTCAGGGTAAAGACAATTGGGCTGTACAGTCTCAGTTCTCAGTGGAGGATCTGTGCTCTAAGAGGTGTTCAAAGAGCCAAAGCCTCTGCCTGCACTCTACTCAGATTTAACAGGCAAAATCCACATAGAAAGGCATGTTGGGATCCAAACACAGCAGCCTGGTGAGTCTCCAGCAGGGTTTGTTTGATCAGGAATGAGACAGTCAGAAGCTGGGTCTATTAAGATTATCCCTTTTAGGTGGTCTGCTGCACTGGATTTCTTTTTAGGATACCAATGTTAATCTGAAGAGAAATCAACTCCTTCAGAAGTTTTACTGGGACTTACTATGTATGTTTTACCTATAAAGCACCTGGAAACACTACATACATTTGAGTAAACAAAGGTCTTTACAATCCTTAGACTGATATCTCATCATTTGCTGCTGTTGAAATGTTTCCAGGGCCCAAAACAGTGCTAATTACTTCTGAAATATAGTAGGTATTTTGAAGCAGATGAACAATGAGCAGTATAACTGCATTGATTTCTCTTGTTCATGGCAATAACTATATATCAATGATTACAGAGCTGTTGTCATGTTTTACTTGATTTCTGGAAGCTTTATTCTGTTTGTTTGGTTGCAATAAGTTACTATGTAGAGAAATGAAAGCTTCCAACAATATGATAAGTTTCCTCAGAGCAATATTGAATTTTTGCAAGAAGCATTTGATTATAATAAAGTGTTATTCTTCATCTCTTTTGAGTTATGATAAAGGATGGCAATATGACAGTACAATCTCACTGGGCTTCGAAACAGTCTCTGGAACTCAGTGTTTTATCTTATTTCTGCTATGTGGAAGTGTGGAGAGCAAAGTGATCTTAACTCCATAAACTTATTGCTCCCACAGTTTATACTGGAACTTGCTATGTTTTTCTTTAGACCACCCTGAGTAACATAAGTAATGGCGATAGCTAGGGATAAGATAAATTTCAGTTTGAGACTTTGCTGCACATTATACAAGTAGAACCTCCCTCTTCTCTGTAGTGCTAAAGTATATCTACAGTTAGTGAATATACCTTTGACTTAGCTTCACATTTGCTTTTATGATTAAAACCATTCCAGGACTTCCATAGGATGGTATTGTGTGTTCTGGTAATTCTTCTTAATCTATTAAAAAAAACAAACTAGTATAACTGTTCGTTGATTTTTTTTGTTTGTTTTCTTTGTTTTGTTTTGGGAGGGTTTTTTGCAATATGATGCTGCTTCAAAGATTGTCATTGCATCCTAGTCTCATATGAACTTTTCTTTCTGTTAATGAAGAATTGCCTCTGCCCCGGTTTGTGGCATTGAAAAATGACAGTGAAATGAGATATGGGACTCCAGCAGAAATCCATGGAGCCAAATGTCAGATTCCACACACAGCTTTGGATAAAAATTCCTTCAAAAGAGCAGATGAAGGAGATAAACAGGTAATGTATCTCTAGTTAAAGTAAACTTATTACTGTGTAAGAAGCATTTTGGGCCCAGTCCTTAAAACAGGTAACTTCAAATGTATGCTTACTCCATTAATTTAATGGTATGCTTTGCAAAGTTGATTTATATACATGTGAAAAATTGTTGGTCAGATTATGACCTTGTTTTGATATGCCTTCATACCGACTATAATCCCAAAGGATTTTATTCATTTAACTCTAATAATCTATGTTACATAATTCTATAAGAGTTAAATAATTGTTTAGAAATATGCCTATATGGCATGTTCCTAACATTTGCTAGAGTGGGTTCAGGGGGAAAGTAAAGACGGACAGTTAGAAAACTTTATTTTTAAAGAACAGAAAAACTACCACATTCTTTTTTCCTCTGATCTTCTTGGAAGTATTATACCAGGCTACTTTTAGAAACCCAAGATTTTCTTTGAACTTCTGTAAAAAAAATCACCCAGACACAATCTTTGTTGCCACTCTGACCTTCTGAATTGTTTATTTAAGTGTGTCATAAAGAGGTCTATATTATCTGTATTTTTTACCGTTCGGGATGTGTGTGATGTTACACACACGCACACGAAACACCATACTCGTGTGTGTGTATTTTTTTTTTTATATATATATGTGGAGCTTGCGCCCCCCCTTGCCGCGTAGTCTGTCGGGGTGTTGCCCCTCCCCTCAACTCGCCTGCCACGACTTGGATGTTAAATGCGCTTTAAGAGGGGTCTACAGTGGAGATCTTTGCTTGGATGGGCCTCCCGATAGACGGTGGTACTCACGGTCGTCCGACGTGATGTTCCACGGGGCTCCGCCTCCCCTACACCCCGTCCACACGCCAGCCAATGGGTGATGCGTTAGAGATGTTTCCTGGCCCCGTATGACGGCCTCAGACCGGTTCCCTGGGTTCTGGTCACTCTCCCTCCCTTCGTGGGGAAGATTTCTTTTCTTATAGAAAATATTCCTCCGAGTCAGGAGGAGCTGTAGGGTTATCCCCCTTATTCCAGCTCCCTGTCAGATTCTCAGCTGCCTCCTCTCTCCTAACGCAAGCAGGGAGCTCCCTTGCCTCCTGGGTGTATGCCTCTTCAGGTGGCTGAAAGGGTGCTCCTGCTTGACCTGCTTGTCTGCCTCCTGCTGTGCTGCAGAAGGCTTAAAGCCCTTCCCTGGGCTGCCTGCTGGAGCCTCGCAGGCTGGGTTGCTTCCTCCCCGTGCCGGAGCTCGCCTCACGAGCTGCCAGCCCGTGCTCTCTCTCTCCGGCTCTCCCCCCGTCTCCGCTCCGCCGGGTTTTTTAAACCTTCCCGCAGTGGCCAATACGGCCGCTGGGATTGGCTCAGCTGTTCCCCTCGCCAGAAACAGCTGATGCCACAGCCGGCGTAATGCCGGTTTGCATGGCTGTGGCCGCGAACGCGGCCCCTGCTCCTGCTGCTCTCTGGGAGGTACATACGTCCCTCTGGGGCCTTGCTCTCGGGGTCTGGGGTCAGTGGGCTCTCTACTCTCTCCTTCGAGAGCCTGTGGGGGCACCTTACCGCCACAATGTGTGTGTGTGTGTGTGTGTGTGTGTGTGTGTATATATATATATATATATATATATAAAAAAAGACTTAGCCTGTCTGTCTGTAATGCTTTATGCACACTCTGGTTGGTGTCTGAAACAACCAATCAGAGTACTTCAAGAGCATTCCAGACAGGAGGTGGTGGTGCTCCGCTGCCATGATGACAGGTGGGGCCAGAGTGTGTGTGTGTGTGTATGTATGTATAATGTGTGTGTATATGTATGGAGGGGTGGGGTGTGGCAGTTCTGTGTACACACACACACACTATATGTAATATAGTGTGTGTGTGTGTATACACAACACTGCCACGCCTCCCCTCCCCTCCCCTCCCCTCCACACACACACACACACGCACTCTATATATAGATATATATAGATATATATCTATATATAGAGTGCGTGTGTGTGTGTGTGTGGAGGGGAGGTGTGGCAGTGTTGTGTTGTGTGTATGTCTATATATCTATATTGATATATAGTGTGTGTATAGACAGACAAAGTTCTTTGGGTAGATGTGATGTCTTTTATTAGATCACCTAAATAGTTGGGAAAATTGTTCTTTGTAAACTTTCGGGCACAAATATCATTCAAGGATGTTTGTGGCCACAAGCTTTCAAAGCGTTACGGACAGACAGACTAAGGCTTTTATAATGTTAGAATGTATGTGTGCGTGTGTGTGTGTGTGTGTGTGTGTGCATGTATAGCCTCCTGACAGTCAAAGAGTTATTTATCTTGTGTTGACATAATACAAGTATGGGAATCCTGAGTCTAATATGAGTTTAATGCATCTGTTTTGTGTGAATAACGTCATTATAGGACAGCACTGCTATCAAACTTATAACTTTTCTTAGTTTACAATTCTTGTTTTATCTTTACACTATAGAACATTATTATTTCTGATAAGGTATTTCAGGTTCATGTGTTCTACAAAAGCTATCTGTATATATCAAGGAAAAGGGAACAAACTCTCATTTGGGTTTGACACACTAAATATTCCTATAACTTTTGAATATGGACTTTTTCTAGCTTCTTGCCTTTTTTTAAAATGGAAAAATATGTTCTGAAATGTTGAATGCATTTAAAGACACTGAAATGCAATTTGTAAATCAAAAAATGTCTAGTAATATGAAACCTTAATAAAAAATACTTTTCTAGACACCTCTGAAAGAAAACTTTTGTTAAATTGTTCATTCTGATGATTTGTTATAAGCATTTCCATATGTATTTCCTCAGAAGCAGGCTCAACACCAAGCAGTCGCTTCATCATCATCCCCTTTTAATGACTCTTCTTTTAGAAATGAAGGACACGGGGGAATTATCAGTTATTACTGTCTTGTATGTCACCCTGTACGGGATTCACTGGCTTGTACAATTGCTCAACTTAATGCTGTTGCCTTTTCAGAATTTTGTTTTGTTTTTCTGTTTGTTCTTGAAGCAGGAAACCAAGTCTCCCTCTATGTCACCAATCGGTTCACCTCCTGCTTCTCCTTCTAGTTACCAGAGAGTGCCCTTGAGTTATGGATACAGCAAATCAAGGAGTGGGCATGAACAGAAGCATGGAGGTAGGATAAAATCCAGGATGCAATAGTCATACATTGTTCTTTTTTGTTTTCTTCGTTCTTCAGTGCTTCTGAGTCAAGAATGCAGTCAAGGAACTAGCCTAATAATTTCTGATTTGAATTGTATCTGTCCTTAGGAACATAATCTGTCTTATTTTATTTTATGCAGCTTTGCTGTCTTATTATTCAATCCTGTGTTCCTGTTTGCTTTCCTGTAAATTAGTTATCATGAGTAGATTTGTGTGCAACTGTCCATAAAGGATGGTTAACACAACATTTTTGGCAAGCCTACATGCAGTATATCTTAGCAATTGAGTCTTGTGAATGGTTTCACTATGTAAGTATTTTTTTTTTAATAAAAAGAACAAAACCCTACTCCTGATTTCAATGACTGCTGTACCAGATTTATAGTGAGGCTTTGTTTGCAAGGAAGGACAGTAATCTCCCTGGTTACATAACAAAAATAACAGGGAGGCATGAATGAAAAAAACAAGAACCCAATGTAATGGAAACCCAGAGGAAATGAAATAGAGAAATATATATATAGGCACTTTCAGCTTAATCTTAATGCTATTGACGTTAGTAGTACGTCATTAATTGATTTTTTTTGAGGGAGGTGTGTATAAGCCTTAAACCAGAGGTGAGCAAAATATGTTCTGCAGGCTGAATCTGGCCCACTGAGGGATTTTTGTCTGGCCTGCGGGTGGGACGAGGGGACCTACGAGTCCATGCACGGAGGGCAGCCATGGTGCATGGCTGGGCTGCAATGGAGCTGGGCAGATGCAGCAGCAGACTCGCTTCCAGCAGCCCTGGCAGTGGCATCTGCTTCTGGCTGCTGCCACTGCTGGACCCGGCGCTGCCTCCCAGGCATCCCAGTCCGTCTGCCCCACAGATGGGGATTGTGGCTTGTGGTGTGGTGACAGCGTGGGGGCAGAGTCATGATCCACCGCCTGCGCAGCCCTGTGATGGGTGCAGGTTCTGCAGGCTGGGACATGCAGATGGTGGATCGCAGCTCTGTCCCGGCCCCTGGCTCTGTGCTGTCACCGCCCCAAGATCCTGCACTTGGTCCCAGATGCAGCTCTCTGCCTGCCCATGGCCCCATTTTGTCTGCGTAGCTGCATGCCCTGCCCGCGCAGGTCCTGGCTGGTCTTTATGGAGACCCCAGGATCGTGGGGTGGTGACAGTGTGGGGCCAGGGCCCCGAGGGAGAGATGCAGTCTGTTTCCCGCATGCCCCTGTCTGCAGAACCGGCACGTGTTGCAGGGTTGTGTGGGCCGTGGGCCCTGGGCCCTGCTGTGATCCCAGGCCTGCCCGCCTGTCCCACTGCCAGATGCCACTCCCCGCCTGCCCGTGGCCCCATCCCAGTTGCCTGCCCAAGTATGGAACAGAGCCACTTGGGGAGTTTTGGTGAGTTGTTGTGCGGGGTGCAGGGGGTGCTGGCCCGGCCACCAACAGCTCACCAAAACTCCCTCTGTGGCCTGTGAGCCAAAATAATTGCCCACCCCTGCCTTAAACAGTTACATACTAAACTATATAGTGGATTGGGAGCTACTGAGGCAGCTTGAGCGGGGAGGGGAGGCCATGGGATCTCAACTTAACGAACATGAAACCTTGGTGTGGCAGAGGGAATGTGATGTCAGCTTCACAAAGTTAATCTTTTTAGTCCATTTCATGTTTAATATGATCTGAAATTAGGGAGCTTGGCCCATAGAACACTGTAAAATATCCTTTCTGCATTAGATTCCTCAACTGGGTTTGTGTTTGAATTGTTTTTGTAAGTTTTGAAAGTTCTGTTGCTTGGAACCACAAAGCCGTGTGGTCTCACCTTCTAATTCAGACTCTAAGTACTGTAGTGTATTTCACAACTTCCTTCCTGACTCTTCTCTGACACTGAAGCCTATTTGCAAAGTTGAAACTTAGATACTAGTACAGCAGAAAAACAGAGCGTAGCAACTTGGTTTTTCTTAGGATGAAGTTTAATTGCTGCAAATGGAGCAGGGAATAAAAGCGTGTGGGTTGTTTTACAAAAAAGAAAAAAGCTTTATTTTTTTGAAACCTGGACAAGTTTTGAAGTTTTCTTGAATTACAGCTTCCATCAGGAGAATTTGAAGTTGTGTGAGAATCATAGTGGCCACCTTGAAAAAAAGTGCTGTTAGGATACTCTAGCAGAATAAATTAGGTTTCAAAATCAGAGGTATGTGGAGGAGTTTCAGGGTTCCTTCCCTTTATGTCCACTTATTTATCCTACTTTAAAAATATCCTTGTTCTTAAACATGCCATTATGTTTGCTGCAATGGAACGGGAGACTCCTTGCTCTGTGTAAATGGAAATAATCATTCCTCTTATTCCTTAATTTGCTTAAATAAAAAATATGGCTTCAGCATAAGTACAAGGAAATTAGCAATTTTCAAGTCAACTGTCTGGACATTTGTCCTTATATTCTGTGCAGTATTTGGTATTCTAGCTTACTCTGCCGTTGCTTAACATGTATGAGAGAAATCTAGAAGATGGCAGGTTTTACACCTCAGTTTAACTTTTTTTTTGTCCTCATTATTTGCAATATCTTCTAAGTATTCTAGACACATTACCCGGTATAGCCTTTTCTGTTTTCACACAGAAAACATGCAGTTTCTTTGCGATTTATGGGACTATTGTGTTTCAAAGTAACTTCAGCCTGGAACAACTTATCTCTCCAAAGCATCCATGTTTGGATATGAACATGATGCTAATTGATGCCAGCATGCTTCCTAGCATGAGCTTTAATTGCTGCAGGTAGAGCAGGGAGCACAAAACTTATTTTTTGAGAGTACTTAAAAGCATGTGGGTTATTTTTATTTATTTATTGTATAAATGTTCTGGTAATTGAATGATTAGTGACTGAAAACCTTGGACATTCAGGAATTTTCCATATTTTGAATTCAGTCCATTTCGTGGCAGAAAAATGTTATCATTTAATTCTGTCTTTGATAATGTTTTCTTAAAACTGTTAGATTTAAAAAAGAAAGTGAAAAATAAACTCCTTGAATAACAGTTGAAAATTTAGCACATTCATTATTCAGTTTACTGCAGTCTAATCTTTCAGAACTGTTGCAGGTGGTTGTGTAAATATGCGTTTCAACAACCACCCTTAAAGCAAGTGTTGTTAATCTGATAGGATGCAATGGCAACTCCTGCTATTAATGCCTGACGAGTAACTGTGAAATAATATAGGAGGCAGGCAGAATTTGGTTCAGGAGACAAGACTATTCAATATAGCAATCCTCCATCTTGTAGTGCTAAGTTGCTACTTTCATATGCAACCTAATTGTTTTTTCTTTATTTTCTTTTTTTTTTTTTTAAACTTTTAGCTTCCTATGAATCCAGACATTCTGCTCATCAACAGGATGGATCAGCAGTGGGGAATTATGGAGCCAAATCTGCACATGGGCAACTTAGTAGGGTAATGTCTTACATGTGGGTTTAATAATAACAACAACAACAACAACAACAACAATGAACCCAAAAGAGTAACATGCATGAAGGTCTAATTGGCTGCTTACAGATGTGAAGAAAACAGAACAAAACAGAGCTTTATTTTCAGCTTGGCATGCCCCACACCAAGCGCAGTACATGCCCAGAAGAGGCATCACAACACTTAGACCTGACTTGTCCAAAATCTGTATAGATCGTGCACTTCAGTAGCACTTGAATCAGCTTTAGATAAAAGCACCAAAAAGCCCTGCTGAAGCACCTGATCTATACAGACGGGTGAGCCAGATCCAACTGGCACACTTTCTCTACTGGTAAAGTGCTTTTGGGGGGGGTCCACATCTGTCAGCAGCAATTTTTGTTAAAATAACTTGTACTCAGGGAAGCTGCATACCATTGTAAGGATACAGGCACACAGCCATCCCCAGTGCTGTCTGGGAGGGATGCTCTAACCAGGATCCACTCACTTGCTTCTGCTCATGTGCCAAACTTGAAAAGGTATCAGTGAAGCAGCTTTAGGAGTGCCTTCTCCCACTGTCCCACAGCTGCTCTCAAGAACTCTTGGAGTAGCTTCATGGGGAGATTTTTAGGTCTGGCATGTGAGAGCCAGGAGCAAGGGACAAGCAAGATGTGGTCTAAATTGTAAATGAAAAAACTCCAGAGATTCATTTACAAGAATTTAGATTTTGTAAAAGCTAGGTTTTATACATCTTATTTTATAGGATTATTTTCAGAAGTGAAAAATTATCTGTGAAATAATTTTTATTTTTAATATTCCCCTCTGGCGTTTGCAGCCTATTGATCAGACCAGCCTTGTAGTGCAATGGCTCTCAACTTTGTTAGACTCAAGCACCCTTTGGAAAATGCCACTTACCTTTGAGTTGTTTCTTGCCTACAGAAAAATAACAGAGCATTTCTTTTGTTGCAAAAAACGCAGAACAAAACATGTTAGAATGTTTTTGACACTATGGATTTTTATTTGAAATCTCTGGGTTTATTGTGTGAATTACCTCTTTTTTTTAAATGGCTGTTTTTTGTAGGTGTTCTCATCCTTCCTCTATAACAAGGAGATACATAGATTAGAATTTATGGAAATAGACTGTTTTTTTCACTTGGTGTTGATTCCCTTCCTTCTCCATCCACACCTCTGCTAAGTATTCCAAAGACTGGAACTCTTCAAGAAGTATTTTTCTTTTCATTTGACATATCGATTATTTTGTATTTATATTTTCTACCAAGAGGGGTGAACATGGTATACTGTAAATCCTATTTGTCAATGTTTCATTTATGCATTAGTGTTTTTTGCAGCAAATATTTCAAAGCTGTCCTGCTCTGAATCATATAATAGCTGGAGAATAGTTTTAAATACTTACTTCTATTTATCACTTGGCAACTATGTTCCTATTTTGTAGATGAAAGTTTTGCAAGTAATACACTCAGAATGAACAGAATAGTTTGATTTATAATATGCAGTTTCTTCTTTTTTTCTGCTACTTGCATTCTATTTTAAACTTTTTGAATAATTTAGGAGAGTATTTGCTCACTTGGCTGATTTGAATAAGGTCAGTAGTTCTCATTGTTTTAGTACCTGACACTTTTTTCTAGGATTATGTGAAAATCAGAAAATGCAACCTACCTGTTCAGCTAAAGTATTATGAATAGTAGCATGGCACAGTGTTGGTACTGTGAGGATTCAGACACCCCAGTGCAATCTGATAGAGTGGGTGGACCTTTAATCTTGTCAGACTGACAGCAACCAAAAGTGGAGAACCTTTCTTTTTCTTTCTTCTTTGCTTGCTTTTGTTCTGCTTCAATTTAAGGCAGTTACCCTTTTCCTAAAGCTCAGGTGCCTCAGGAAATAGGAAAACACCACTCCATAATAAATTCCTGCCTGATGTATATGTGAATTCAGATGAAAGACATGCAGGAGAGAAGGAAAATACATTTGGAGCCTGTCATTTGGCTTTGGTGATGATTTTTTGTATCATTCTCCAAGTCTTTCAGTGTCAACTTTTTAAAGAGATTTAGGAAGTTGGGTTTCTGGAGATGGTTAGATATGTTTCCCTGGAACTCTTTTTCAGTTAAAATTGGCTTTTTTGATGGAATGATTGTATTTCAGAAAGGGTAAGGTAGGAGGTCAGATGACTTGTTAGGGAGGTGGAATCAGAAAGATTTAATGAAGTAGACCAGAGGATGTGAATGAACCTGTGGATTAACTAAATGTGTGTTAAGTGGTTATTCATGGTACTGTCAATGCCCCAATGGTTGTCACATCAATACAGTCAACTGTGGAATTATGGTACTGAGTTTGATTTGGTGGAGCATTATGTTCTTTAATTTTTGTAACAACTTTATCATCTTTCTTTTAGAATTTTGTAAAATGGGAATTGTAAAGAGAGATGCTTATAAAAGGTCCATTTCCCCAAGTGTGCTTTTGTTTTAGGAAGTGGTAAGATTGTACAGACCACTATACATGGGTAAAATATACCTACTTTATCAGAATACCTACTTTATCAGAATAAATAAATCAGTCCAGTCACAGCAGATCTGACAGACAAAGAAACATGACAACAGTTGCATGAACCCTAGAAGAGACCGACAGCTGAGCCTGTTAAAATGACTCCACCAAAAAGCCTAATAAAATAAGCCATCAGTAGCCCTATCATGCCTTATTTCTGGTGCCCAGACCAAGAGCCCTTTGTGGACTGTAAATTCCTTTCTAAACTTAACTGCCTTTGTTCAGGCTCAAAACCTATCACTTCTCCATGCAAGGAATTATCCTCTTATTTCACAATGACCAGTACCTGGCATAAGCTCTTTGTCCATCAAGAATAGCCATCTGAGAAGAGAACCAGAAATATAATATCTTCCTCTGGAGAGAGCGTTCCAGGGCTAAAGTTAGTAATGGGAGAACTGATGGCAATAAGGGTGAGCCTTGGTGTCTGGTTGTAGTAACACAGGTTCAAATCCTTCATGAGCTGGCACTACAGTAGTGTTTCTTAATTAGCATTGGTAAACAGAGATGCTGTAAAGCCACTCTGACTTTATGCAGAATACTTGAACTCTGAGATTAGAAGTATAAAATATTCAAAGCATATTAACCATGCAAACAGTAAACTAAATTTTGAGGCTAACGATGAAAATGTCAGTCACCAAAATGTTTCTAATAAACACTTCATACTGGAGGAGCCAATAAATATTTTGATTTTTGCAAGTATTTAAGGCTGAATTTTACACAGTTTCTGTTTTATGTTGTTGGTTGTGCAGTTGTGTCTCTTGAAAATGTGTCACCCCGGCAACCAAAGACTGTCAGTGGCTTGTTCAAGTTAAGATTGAGCAAGTGCTAGCAATGGTAGAGAATTTTAAGGATGAAAAAGAATTCTTTATATAAAGTTACTGCTAATTAATAAGGATATATGTTTGTTGCTGACATTTTTTCCATGATCAAGTCTACCAGTGGGCTGGGCTTGACTCATTTACAGTAAGGACTGGTTATAGGTCCTGTAAAGGTGTCGTTGGTGCAGCTAACACTTTTGTGCTTTGTGCTATGATTATGCAAGATGGCCTTAGCAAAAACAAGAATAAAGCCAAGTGGCTTTTAGTTGCAGGGGGGTTTTTTTGTTGGTTTTTTTTTTAACAAGTAGTCAACATTTTCTAACAGTATTTTTTCACCTCTGATCTATCTACTATTGTGCAAAACTTATCAATTCAATTTTACAAGCTTTACTATATTGGAAGAAAAACACAAGTTGCTTTTTTTTAATTAGTTTGAAACTGTGATTTGTTTGTAGAGTTTTGAATAATATTTGCTGACAAATACAGAGCATTTACTCAAAATTATACAAGTTCTATGTTTTCCTACACTTTCCAACATGTAAGTAAATACAAGTGGAAAACAGCACTCCCGCAACTCTATTAAAATATACTTGTCCCAAGCAGAGATTTTTCTCTGAACAGCAAGAAGTGCTAGAGACTCCACACATTTCTTTGCAGACTTCTCTCTTTCTATACATGTTGGTGTCACAACCCAAAGTTGTGGATTTTTTGATTGTGTGTGCTTCGGCACCGCTAAATTATGTTCCCGCCGAATTGCAGCTCTTTTGCACGACGGAGTGTTCCGTTGTTATAGAGAACCCGCGTGCAGAAAAGTGTTTCCC